TGCTACTACCCTCTCTTTAATCAATTATCTGATAATAATTATGGGATATTCTTAAAAATCTGTACTGTACAAATTTACATGTGCATTGGAGCCGAGAGCAAAAAGTAGCTATTAAAGGTAAAGACCAGTATTGGAAACGCCCCAATTTCAAAAAATGAAATGGAAGCTTTCATTACCAATCATGTGAAAGAATATGTTTTGAATAATACATGATGATAAAAAATTTTGCCGGGAAACCGCCTACTAATTCATATATTTGGTAAATTTGTTTCTCTCATGGTCTGTGAGAGATATAGGGTAGTCCCATATACATCTTTCTGTGTATAGTGCTTGTAACTTTACGAAGAATGGGCCAAATTTCTTATCATTTTGATGATTCCAGAACCTTGCAGATGTTAGATGCTAGATGATCAACCTTTTCTGATCGATTCCACAACGTTTCTTTCACAATGCAATCGCATGACCATAACTGGTCTTTACCTTTAAACAAACCCTACCAAATTAAAGAGCTTTGTGAAACTAAATAGGAAGTCTGTGAGAAGTATGGAAACCTACATTAGAACCATCTTGATGGAATAGAACATATTGTTCTAGAAAAGCTTTGAAAAAGTGCAATGAACATTTTTTGAAAAATTAAATTATATGATATTTGTCAAGATATTACATGTAGGACTAGATGCTACAGCGCATCTAAGCTGTTTATATAAAGACATGTAGAGCTTGAATGCACAAAAGCATAAAACCAGGGGGTGTTTCACAAAGATCCTAAGTAGAACTTAACACTAAGTTGGACTTAAAATTATGGACAGCCATTGGTGCCTTAAAATGAAATATATTCAAAAGCAGAAATTCAAGTATTTTAGACTTTTTTTTATAAATTCCACATCAAGAAAATGAAATCTCCTTGATGATAGAAAATATGAATGATTTGAATCAATATTTTATGCCTTTCAAAATAACTTTTACAAAATATTTTCAAAGATGCTAATGGCTTTCCATAATTTTTAAGTCCAACTTAGAAATAAGTTCAGCTTAGAATCTTTGTGAAACACCCCCCAGGCCTTTTTTAGAGAGCCAATAATGAGAAGTTTATCCTCAAAATTCATGCCTCATTATACATTGACTCATAGAAATTGTGATTGGACTTTGAAATGTTGGCACGTTTCATTTCAATAGCAAATGAACTTTGCTATTATACCTGATCACCATAATTTTCTGGAATAATAATAGTGGGTCCTTGTATAGCGCTCATGTCTATAAGACTTGACACTCCTGGCACTTCACAATTATTACCCTGGCTTTATCATGGCTGCTATTTTGGCGCTCTAGCATTTCAAGGAATCACTTCCTGCCAGGTACCCATTTACATCCTCTGGGTCAGGTGTGTGGAAAATGCATTTGATTAATATCTTGCCGAAGAATTAGTGCTCCGGCGGCGGGACTCGAACCACAAACGTGGGCTGGACATGTTCCCTAAACAAGACATTTTGCTGCAGGGGGGCTCGAGGCGAATTAGCCCCCGAAATGCCCAAAAGAACCCCCAAATTTGCAGAGAGTTCAATGCAAAACATATTAAAGAGTGTTATTTTCATGCAAGCAAGCTTGAAAAGTAGCCCCCCGAAATGTTTGTATCAATTTTTTCCCTGCCTTGTGGACTCGAACCACAAACATGGGCCGGACATGTACTCCAAACAAGACATTGCTGCGGTACAATCCGTGCATGGAGCAATGTGATTTCATGGTCTACCCATCCAGTAATAATCGAGGATGACATTTCACAAATATGCCTCATTTCAACCCACTCCCATCCCATACATTCTTCTCGCGATGAAGTCATGATACAGACAGAGAAGTCATCTCATCATGCTATGGCTTGCTTTGAAAGTAGTTTCCTGGATTTTTTGTTTCTTCTGTTAGTATACATGTAGCATTTTGAAATGATGACAATAAAACCATAGGAGAAACTAGAAATTATAAGTATGAGGGCTATGTTAAAGTCAGACAATTGTATTCTACTCTGTTATATAACCTCCTTGTATAAGCTTAGAAGCTTTCCCATGCGTATCTTGTGTAGATTGTAGTATTTTTCAGGACAAAGGAAAAGTAAAATAGCTCGTGATATTTACAAATCTTGTAGTTTATAATTTAAATGTGTGGGTTACGTGCTTTTTTGTGATATAAAAATCGATCAAAATTAATTTCTCCGACCGCATTTCTTGCAATTTTCCATTTAAATAAATAAGATATAAAGTAAATGAAAAATGCTTCTAATTATTAAGCAAGCAGAGTTGTTACTTTCAGTTTTTTTTTCTTTATAAGTCAAACATTTTGATCATGAACATGAAAATGTAGACGTATTTCAATTTCTTTAGGATGTACTGCATCTCTACGATGCATATCACAATATTCCTATAAATGGAGTCTCACTGCGTCCATCCATCCATTCTTTTTTATTATGTCTCCCCTGAAGCAAATTTACTACTGTTTATCAGCAGATCCGCGCCGTACAAATCCACCTCGACATACCAATGCAATTACATTGTTTCTTGCCCACGGGGCGTATGTTCGGCGGGACATAAAGGATGTGCCGAATCTCCGCCTCATATTAGATGTGACATCCTTGCTTTGCGAGGTGTGACCTGCAGCCAACCGAACGATAAATTCATCATCATTGAGCACAAGTGTTCAGCCAAGTACAAACCCATCCTTGCTTGGGGCTGTATATGACCTCAAGATGTACTTAGCTCTAATGTGTTAGTAGGAGCGTAGGACACTGTGAATGATTGCATTAGGTGAATTACAAGGTACACTTAATATATGAAGATGTACCTTGAAGCACTTTAAATGCCTGATTTACCACAATGGCTCACTGGTAGAGCCGTAGTCTCATAACCAGGGGGTCCCAGGTTCGAAACCAAGTTGATGCTCTAGCTAGCACCCTTTGGTAAGGCATTAATCCTCATTACCAGGTCCCTCAGAGAGGACTTGAAGCCGCTGATCCCCTCGTTGCTTGCTTACAAGCATAACATGTTGTCTTTGTACTCTGGTGAATTGTTAAACAAACCAACCACTAACCAACCATCTCATATATATGCTTTGCTATCTTCTATATTAGCTTAGAAGCACAGATACATACATCTTGTGAAGGTGACAAAGTTATTGCAACTAAAATGATCTTTACTTTATCTTCATGATGGTCTGTATATCCCTTTGAAGATGACCACAAGAAGGAGTCGAAGGATGCTATAGCATTTCTTTTGTGAGATAATTTATGTATAAAGAAAGTCTTTGGTATGTTTTCTTTATGATAGAATTATTCAACCAATTAGGCCCTACCTTAAAAATGTCCTGTCCTTATATGGTGACATATAATAAAATGAAAGTAGCATTTCATATCAAATCAGTACATTAGCATGTATAAAACTGTTAAACATACCATAGATATTAAATTTCAGGAACCATATCAACATTCCATATGATGGTATCCAGTCTTGTTATCTCACATATTAGGCATATCTCTTAGTACAATCACCATCTTTTGTTTTGTTTGTAATGTTATACTCTACCTAGATAGATATGTAAGGATCAGATACAAGGGGTGTGTACAGTAGATCAATCTACCATGGCTTTTAAAACCTAATATATTTCCACATTGTTTGTTACAGTGTGCTTTCCTGTGTACTCATAAGTTACTAAGATGGATTATAACCTTCATAACTAATTGTAAGCCTATATATTTAGTATATGTAGATAGTTTGCTAGAATGGGAAAGATGGGATAGGATGCAGGAATTAAAGAAAGGGGGAGGTGGGGGGGGGGGGGGGGGGGTTGTAAAGTATTGGTATCTTAAGACAAGTCCAAGCATGGAGTTCTCATGTAACATTGATTCCAAACTTTATTTCGAAGTAAGCACTGTAATGATAAAAGATAATTTGTTCCTATTTTCACGAAGTGACGGTAGTGAGGAAAATCTGCACGCAAAGTGTATGCGATTCGTGAAAATAGGGACAAATTTTGTTCAGATACCTCTTTGTAATTAATTGTGCTACCATTAATCCATTCTTTAGTCTTTGGGGAAAAACCCCTCAGCCATACAGTGTACCTATTGATTCAGTATCCCCCTTTCACTCTTTTGCCTGATTCAATTCCCATTATTATCTTCAGACTTGGTATGCCCCCTAGCCTGAAGCAATTTGTGTTGAGTCCCACCCATAGTAAATCATGTGATGGATGTTTCATCTTCACCTATTGCCCCCACATGAAACATGATAATGTGATGGGTATGAGAGAATGTAATAGACTTACCCCATACTGTACAACATTGCTAACTATGCAGATTAATAAATACCAAGGGACTCGGGAGACATTCTTCTTCAGACCATAGCTGAGAAAATCTCTCAAAATGAGGGATGGAAGAGAGAGAGACAGAGACAGACAGAGAGAGGAGGGGGGGGGGGGGAGTTGCTTGGTTGTTAATCATCATCAACTGAAGATGATAAGAGATGGTAGAGACTAGAGTTACGTGACTAGCATACACACTTGTCTATACTTGAATACACTTGTATATATATGTAGGATAATTGTATCTGGATAGGGTGAGGACCAGTGTTACAAGATATTTTTTCATGAGAGAGAAAAAACTAGGGGCTCTATATATATGTCAAGACAGAAAAAGAAAGGGAGGGGAGGAATGTAACTTAAAGAGTCGTGGAGTGCTTAAATGCTAAATATTCATTTAGAGGTAGAAAGTTCAAAGGTACATATACAACAAACATTGAGACACAAATACATACAAATCAATTCAGTTCGCTACCTGCTAGTATAAGGATTACTTTCACCTCTTTCTCCCTTTCCTCAACTCATCTTCCATTTAGAATATATATATTTATATTTCTTAATATTTTTATATTTAACTTCATGGTTGATATTATATTCAGACTTTTCACCCCAAAGGTTGTGACATGGAGATTAATGATCTATTATTTGATTGTATTTTACAGGACTGCCATCATACTCTCCAGTTGATCTCCCCCCTCCCCCCTCACCTGATCAAGCTTATGGAGGCCGGGACGACGCCCCTCTCCCGCCCCCACCTCCTGAGTTGAGTGGATCCAGCTACCCACCCAAGCCTGCCCCTACCATGCAGACATACAATGAACCACACCCAGCAGTACAACCAGGCTACAGGCAGCCCTCTTACAGGTATACTTTTGACATCTCCCTCTTTGCTCTTCCCTTTCTCCCTCTCCCTTCCTCCCCCACTTTCTCTCTCTCTCTCTCTCTCTCTCTCTCTCTCTCTCTGTCTCTCCGCCCCTTCTCTCTCTGTAATATATATTTTTTTGCAATTGGAAAAAAATATATAAATACCTCGTGGATGAACAGGAAACTCCTTTTTTGAAGAAATTGTAATATTCTTAAAAAGTATTTTCTTCAATCTGAGATCCACTTGGGAGACAGGCTGGAACCAAAGTCCCTTTGCTAGAGCGATTTAAAACACCATTTTCTTTCCATTACAATTCTGTTCAAGTGTAATGAGAATCTGTACTTAGCAAATAGAAAAACTCAAACAACTTTTTGTTTCCCAAACATCATCCTTCTAATATTCTTACTCTTTCCATAATGTGACTCTTGTTTGAGACTCTACAAATCGAAGTGAATACTGCCCCCTGTTGTCAAGATTACACCATGTTAGACACAGCTGGAATCAGAGTCTGTAGGTTGAGCACCTGTCTAGGATATCACACATATACTGATCAAACTTTAATCCATATAATCCTCTTCCTCTTCTGCTGTTGGATTTCAAGTCATTTAATAATTCTATTTCTGATCACAAAACATTTGATTTCAATCACGGCGGAATCACATTTATTATGAGAATTGATGGAAGATGTTAAGCATGGTACATTAGGTTCTTGGGTGGTCCACATCACTACCAAATAGTTATGAGGTTAACTTGTCATGTATCATCTCATTTGCATATAGCCAGAAGGGCAAGCATTCTCTGTACAATAGGCCTGTTTTCATCAGATCGAAGTTTTCAGACTCTGAATATTTTCCCGAGGCTCAAAATTGCGTCTTCACCAGACCGATACGCTCATCACAAACAAGCACAAATTAGCCCTCTATTTTCCAAATAGCGTGCTATTTTGGAAACAAGACCAAGATTTCTCTAGATATTTTCTCTACCAAATAGCTCGCTAATTGCAACTGCGGGCTGATGAAGATGCAAGTTAGCTGGCTAATTTGAGGTTGGGCTACCGGTAGTCAAAATAGCGGGTTATTTTGCAACTTTCGACTGATGAAGACAGGCCTTATGATATGAGTTACACCCCTCTGGTGGCTCTAGTGATATTGAAGATAATTACTGACAGCATGTAGATCTGGTTCTAATGGAATGCTTTCAATTTCTGGAGACTTTGGGAAACATGAAAAGTCTTTCTAATTTTTCATACTGTTTGACTTTGAGTTGAGCTCACATGATAATAATGATAAAAATAACATTAATGTTATTTACATGTATACATGTAGCACATAATTGGTAATAATTTATTCTGTACACATGTATGTGCTTTACTGTATATTATAGGATTGGTTTATCGTGATTAAAGAATAAAACTTTCCTGCAAGAATGGTAAATCTTCAGAGGTTTCTTTAAGCTTCATTAAGAAAACAGATTATTCATTACATGTATACATTTACAATGAGGTATTGATTATGAGGTCAAAATATAGAAATTAAATCAGATTTTGACTTTCAAATAAAAATCTTTAATCAGCAGTAAAAAATACTTCCTTGCTTGAGCTCATGCAAGGGCTGTGTACAATTATCTCCTCACTTGTCACATCAATTTTAATTCAATTTTCTCAGCTAGTAGTCTAGTGACTGAATTAGGGTAGCATGATAGATGCCGAAAAAGGGGGGGGGGGTAGAGAAGATATCTTCTAATATTACTCATATCCTGTCTCCATAATCATATTTATGGGACAAATATCACCGGCTTCACAGTCGTAAGAGATTCAGTTGTAAGTGAGTTCTTGGGCAGGCAGATATCATTATTGACTGACTTCAGGTTTGTAATCGCTCAAGCAGTGGAGAATTTTGCTAGGGAGAAGCAGCATATTAAACCAGTGTGCAAGTTTGAACTTTAAGTTGGAATGATGTTAGAACCCTATGAGTTAAGGTTGGAGAAGCTTGTTACATGTATGTGGTAAGTGGTCATCACTTCTAACAAGTCCTGAAATGGCATAAAAATTGTCAATTCTTATCTCGGAAGCTCTGTATGTTCTTCCTTTTGAAAAAGTGAGAAATTCTCCTGTTGATTTTGATATTTTGCAGATTGATTTTGTTTAAAGAGTGAGTCGTTTCTGAGCTTTAGACAGCAACATTACACTATGCTTAGACTACTAGGCACTTTCTCTTGCCGTCTTGACAGTTGGACTTAGTGGTATAATCTACTATCCTTGTTGAAAGAAAATTATACTCGTATTTGGAATAAGTATAGTTCAAATAGAGTTTGAAAGTCAAATATAGGCTAGTAGGCATAAGTGGTCTTTGATCTGTAATAGAAAGTCTTTGAAGTGGTTTCGAGAAGCTTAATTGTGTTAAAGTAATATACATGTACAAGTTATTTAAGAGTATGAGGAAGCAATTATATTCTTTTAAAGTGATATTTGAAGTGCTGTTTTATGGACATGTTAAATTACTGATATCATGATTTAGGAAGCACTTCACATTAATCTGTTTCACAGTGTATACTTTATAAACATCACACAATGCAAACAGTGTTTCTGCGTCATAAATTTCAAGCTGTTTGTCTGATGAAAAATAAGGAATTTAAAGGCATATTGTATATGTATGGATGCGTCTTTGGAGGCTGTTTAATAATGTGCTCTTGGGATGTTCATAGGGAATAACTGATCTAGAATTGTGATGTGAGTACCAAGCTTACTTTAACATTCTTTGTGAACTCTGTGAGCTTAGAAAGAAGATCTAGAAGAAAGAAAGTGTTGTGGTAAAAATTGTAACCAATTCTAGCAGGAGTTTTCTTAGCTGAACGAGATTCCTGTCAAATCCGATCTGGGGAATTTGCATTGCACCAATACTATATCTACTTACCTAATGAGAGGTGCTGAGGAGTCTTTACAAATACTGTACATGTTGATGTACTCTGGTATGCTGTCCATGATTCACACCATAGAAGATCTTCTCCTTCTTGAATTCCTCCAGTCCTGGTGGGCTGCGGGATCCTGGGTACTTGCAGATAGTTGATCTAGAGCTGGCAGTAATACACTCTGTCAATGCATAATGAGGAGTTGAGTGTTGAACCCAATTAAGAATTGATTAATGGTTCCTGTGTGAATTCCTGTCCTGGAATGCTGACTTCCCTCCAAGGTTTGAAGTCCAGTCAAATATGACTGCCATTAAGTTCACTGTTAAGGTTGAGGGTGCAAGTGATTCCTAAATAAAGCCTATCTGCACTAGTTTGGCCAGGATGGATTAGACCTCCCTGCGTGGTCACTAGCAGGTGGTTATCTCATCAAATCAGCTCTCAATTAACATAAGAAAGCAAGACCATGGGGGACCGATGGTACCGCTTAGGCATTGTTGGCTGTATAGAGGGTTCAAGTAGCTACAAGTAGTGCAGTCCTGCTTTAAAACATGTTTGGATTCTCAAAATGCATATTGATCAGGCTATAGTCTTAGCATATTGAGTGATCAGAACTACATGTATTGACGTAATAAAAGTGTAGGAGAACATCTTAATATGTCCCACAGCAATTAAATCACTAAAAAGTGAGAAAATGTTACAAAAACAATGAGGAATCATTAGGAATTGTGATGATTGATCCAAATGATCCACAATATTCCACATGGTTCTGGAAGAAGAAAAAAAAAAATCCATTATGGACTCCTCAGTTTTCTAGATGTCAACATCCAAGTAATGGACTCTGCCCTAAAATATAATCATTCTGGGACTCCAGGGGAAACAAATAGTGTGAAACCCTGTAAAATCTAAAAGGACCGATTATCTCTTTATTGTAAATATACATTTACTATATTGTCTTTCAATTTTCTATTCATGCAACCTACAGGCAGCAAACCAGTCCTACTCCAGGTCCTAGCCCTGCTCCAAAGCCAGCTCCAGCAGGTCTAAAGGGTCCAGACTGGTCTTACCATGTCCCTCAGCCTACAGACCAGCCTATCACTTCACCGGCCAAGTCTGGTGCTGAGGCAGAGATTGATGCTCTCACAAACCTCCTGGTGGCAAACATGGGAACAACTCAAGAACCAGAAGGAGAGTTCTTTGGTAAGTCCTAATGCTCTAACAAGCCCTCTTGTGGCTTACATGGCTACTAAACTCAAGACCTGGAAAGATGGCTCTTTAGTAATTAGTCCTAGTCTTCTCACAAACCTCCTGGTGGCAAACATGGGAACAACTCAAGAACCAGAAGGAGAGTTCTTTGGTAAGTCCTAATGTTCTAACAAGCCCTCTTGTGGCTTACATGGCTACTAAACTCAAGACCTGGAAAGACGGCTCTTTAGTAATTAGTCTTAGTCTTCTCACAAACCTCCTGGTGGCAAACATGGGAACAACTCAAGAACCAGAAGGAGAGTTCTTTGGTAAGTCCTAATGCTCTAACAAACCCTCTTGTGGCTAACATGGCTACTAAACTCAAGACCTGGAAAGACGGCTCTTTAGTAATTAGTCCTAGTCTTCTCACAAACCTCCTGGTGGCAAACATGGGAACAACTCAAGAACCAGAAGGAGAGTTCTTTGGTAAGTCTTAATGCTCTATCATGGGTTCTACTTACAAACTAGGAGGGTCCTTTGGTAAGTCCCAATGCTCTATCATGGGTTCTACTTAAGACAGGGCTGTTAACTTTGGGGAACTGCTTCGAGGGAGATCATTTGCAATTCTTTTTGGCTCAACAGGGAAGGGGGGGGGGATGTTGAACAAAATTGCTCACTAACCCCCTCGGTACGGTACGCTGGTTCATTTTACACGTTTGGCTGGAGTTTTTTTCATAAACCGGGATATTGCAGGAGATTGCGGGAGAGTGGGAGGAAGGGCGTGGTGGCGGGAGTCTCCTGCTACGAGCTGATGGGACGGCAAGAGAATGAGCATGGTGGTGTGAGACTCCCTCCAAATGCGGGAGGGTTGACAGCCCTGCTTAAGAACTAAGAGGGTCCCAGCTGCTAAGTGATACAAATCGTTTGTTTTGTCATTATTATTATTATTATTATTATTTATTTGACCAATCGGAAAACATACAATGAGTATAACAATCAGATAATACATAGAAATTTCATAATACATGCAAACAGCTTTAGGAAAGTGGAGAGGAGAGAGAGAGAGAGAAGGATACAATCTGCTGGTCAGGGGTGACAAAAGCAATTGCATCAGTATACTCACAAGGCAGAATATCTGTAAATGAATAGGCTTGGCCAGCTATAATTAGCATGGCAGCCATCTTGGGAAAAAATATCAAAAACAGTTAATAGTTATGCCCTGCCTCCTCCTATTTTGTTTAAAGTCTGGACGAGAAACACATTATTTTTGTTATTTGGCTTTATACATCACTTCCGTTATTTTGATCATTTTCAGGAATGTGCTCACGTTGCAGCAACAAAGTTGTAGGTGAGAACAACGGTTGTACGGCCATGGAGCAGGTCTACCACGTTGATTGCTTCACATGTGAGAATAACTGTGGCACCAAGCTTCGTGGACAACCTTTCTATGCCCTGGAAGGCAAGGCTTTCTGTGAGCACTGCTATGTAAACTCACTCGAGAAATGCTCTACTTGCTCTCAGCCAATCACAGACAGAGTAAGAGACGACACTTTCAAAATCAGTTTGATTTATTCTTTGTTATACAATGTTGAATTCAGTCAGGTTGAACTACAGTACATGTAAATTAGTAATAATAATAATCAAAATAGTTAAATGTTTTTGTATAGCGTATAACACTGTAGGCATAATTGCATGTCTCTATGCGGTTTACAAAACAGAATACTGAACAAGCAGGAATGGTGTACTGGGTTTATAATTGTGAGATTTTACAAAGTGTTAAATAATTACATTTTCAAATAACTTCTAAACTTCTCCTACTGTATGTTTTTATATTTCTAAGGTTTCCCGGCAAGTTATTCCAAAATAAAGTGGCTGCATATGAAATGAATATACAGACCTTTGAGATTAATGTTTTTTTCAAAGTGCAGGGATTTTTATTGACAGAATCTTAAGATTAAATTCTTATTATTTTTTTAACCTGTATGATTTTCTTAAATATGCTCCCCTGGCAGGATGGAGCGTAACTATTTCAATTGAGTTATTTTCACATCCTTGAATCTTTTAAACTTTGTTGACAGATTTTGCGAGCCACTGGCAAGCCATATCACCCTGATTGCTTTACATGTGTTGTGTGTGGCAAGAGCTTGGATGGTGTTCCTTTTACTGTGGATGCTACAAACCAGATACACTGCATTGAGGACTTCCACAGGTAAAGATAGGATCATTTACCAGTCTCTGTTGTATGATTTACATCATCAGGTTCCTGATATTATTGTCAAGTGTTAGCATGTTAAGTCTGACCAACATTTGTGTACGTCTGGTTTTTGACAAAAGGTTGAGTTATGTAAGAGCTTTTTGTCATTTATGACACTTTCCTAAAAAGTACTGAAATTGATGTCACCTACTTAAACAAAATATTTTCTAGATGCTTTCCTTTGTATCATATTTTGATGATAACTTGATATGATATCATGCTCTTGAAAATGAGAACCTAAAGTTTTTTAATGGAGCTAATTCAGGGTTGTAGTTGAAGCAAAACTTTTTCAAGACCCTATCCTGGCTCTTTTTCCTTTGGCTGTATTTGTGGTGTGAACCCTAAAACCCTTTATCTGTGTGAATTATTTGTTTTTGCATTGCCAACATCTCTGTGGAGCTAATAATACCAATTTATAGCAATATATTCATGTAACATACAAATTATATGCAGATTTACAATTAGTCAATCAATCATTCAGTTAATCAATTCAGCTGTATTGCTAGAGTTAATTCGAAGAAGGGTGAAGCTAGCTTTCATTTTTGTGGTCCAAAACTGTGGAACAGTTTGCCAGCACACCTACGGTCGTGTACATATACACATTTGTTTGTATTGTAGTAAATGTAAGTAATCTTGGAGAGCTGTATTTAAAGTGCATAGAGCAGTTTTAATTTGTATTGCACTATACAAATGACAGTTTATTATGATATTATGTTTATTATTGCTAATGTCTCCTACCCATGTGTTTTGGTTGAAACAGGAAATTTGCTCCTCGTTGCTCCGTGTGCCTTCACCCTATTATGCCTGATGACGGTCAGGAAGAGACGGTTCGTATCGTAGCTCTAGATCGCAGCTTCCACGTACACTGCTACAAGTGTGAGGTTAGTATAATACAAACAATTCTTTGTAAAACCTTAATCTCATGCCTGATGATGGTCAGGTAGAGACGGTTCGTATCGTAGCTCTAGATCGGAGCTTCCATGTACACTGCTACAAGTGTGAGGTTAGTATAATACAAACTATTCTTTCTAAAACCTTGATCAGATATGAAGTAGTATCATGCCTGATGACGGTCGGGAAGAGATGGTTCGTATCGTAGCTCTAGATCGGAGCTTCCACGTACACTTCTACAAGTGTGAGGTTAGTATAATACAAACTTTTCTTTCTAAAACCTTGATCTCATGCCTGATGACGGTCAGGAAGAGACGGTTCGTATCGTAGCTCTAGATCGGAGCTTCCATGTACACTGCTACAAGTGTGAGGTTAGTATAATACAAACAATTCTTTGTAAAACCTTAATCTCATGCCTGATGATGGTCAGGTAGAGACGGTTCGTATCGTAGCTCTAGATCGGAGCTTCCACGTACACTTCTACAAGTGTGAGGTTAGTATAATACAAACTTTTCTTTCTAAAACCTTGATCTCATGCCTGATGACGGTCAGGAAGAGACGGTTCGTATCGTAGCTCTAGATCGGAGCTTCCATGTACACTGCTACAAGTGTGAGGTTAGTATAATACAAACAATTCTTTCTAAAACCTTGATCAGATATGAAGTAGTATTATGCCTGATGACGGTCGGGAAGAGACGGTTCGTATCGTAGCTCTAGATCGCAGCATCCATGTACAGTGCTACAAGTGTGAGGTTAGTATGATACCAACAATTCTTTCTGGAACCTTCATCAGATACTGTATACGAAGTAGTTAAACACACAGGTTTTTATTTACATAATATTATGCAGAAAGTGTGATACACTTCAGATTTCTGTATCTTATCACAGAACCCAGTAAATAGGCATAGGACATTTGTTGCCATTCATTTACATGTTAAGAAAAAAACACTTCATTTCTGAAGTAGACTTGTATAGGAAGTTAATTTGAGGCCTTATGTAGAGGAGAGTCACCACCTTTGCATGTTAAAAACCCACTGCTCTATTCATATAAGACTAGGGGTATAGTCTAGTATAGTGGTCCATGTGCACACCCTTAATCAGTTATATCGGGAGGAGAGACCTAAGGGTCACAGTGATTCAGTTTACATTTTACCCCTGGGGGGATACTCGGATTTGGTGTGGACGGGGTGTGCCGCTCAAGCCTCGAAACCTCTAGCCATCATTTGGGGTCATTTTTCGAGAAAAATGACCCATTTTCCCCCAAAATTGGGTTTTGTTCAAATTTTGAAAAAATCAGATCCATGTTTAATGGTATTTTTGTTAAGAGTCAGTTACACCCATGTTCAAGGATTTTTGTGAAAAAGTTACCCATTACAGCGACACACCCTAGTTTGTCCTAATATGTGAGTACCCCCCCCCCCCTTCCCGGGATTTTACCTCTCAGACACATGTGACACAAATTATTTAATGATAATAATATCAATGATCATCATTCTCTTGTTGTTTTCCTTACAGGATTGTGGAGTGTTGCTGTCATCTGAAGCAGATGGAAGAGGATGCTATCCACTGGATGATCATATCCTCTGCAGAGAATGCAACGGAAAGCGTGTCCAGTCAATCTCATAAGAGGCGTGTCCAGTCACTCTCGCCATAGTTACCAACCCACAGGAGGCGTGTTTAATCACGCAGCATATAGTTACCAACCCATACGAGGCGTGTCCAGTCACTCTCAGCATAGTTACCAACCCACAGGAGGCGTGTTTAATCACGCAGCATATAGTTACCAACCCATACGAGGCGTGTCCAGTCACTCTCAGCACAGTTACCAACCCATGGGAGGTGTGTCCAGTCACTCTCTACATAGTTCCCAACCCATAAGAGGCGTGTCCAGTCGCTCTCAGCATAGTTACCAACCCTTGGGAGGTGTGTCCAGTCACTTTCAGCATAGTTACCAACCCACAGGAGGCGTGGCCTACTTTATCCCTAGATAATGACTTGCTAAATCTTATACTATTCTAAACCATACATGTGTGGAGAGTGCAACAGGAGGTGCTCTCTGCATAGTAATCAGTCAGGGGATGTGTCCTAGGTTATTTCAATGCCATGTGACTTCCAAGTAGGTGTGGTCTGGATGTTATTTCAAAATAATTATACAGAACTGCCTAATTGGCTTGGCATATATTGCCTGAAAAAAACCCAACAACAACAAGCAAACAAAAAGACCCCCACCTCCAAGAAAACAAACATAAAAACATAAAAACCCATTTAGTTTTCACCAAGGAGGTTGGCCTAGACTTTTTAAAATTATGTAGAATAGAACCATTTGATAAACCATTTATGGCCCTTTTCCTAGATGACTGGCTAGTGGTTAAGAATGAATGAACTTTCTTTCCTTAGAGATGTATTTGAATTCCACTATGAATTTGGTCAACAATAACAAAACATATAGAACACAAAACATACATAACTTTTGATAGTAATAGAATTCTCTTTAAAAGGAAGAATTCTTTAAGTATATTTACTGCCTTTGCTACAAAATATATTTTATCTTCACTGCTAAACTTCATTTTTAAAAGATATCAAACTGTTTGTGTCGGCTGATCTAAAGTCTAGCTAATATAGAACAAAACAGTTTTTATGTCATGTTATTCAACTTCTTCTACTCCTGCCATCATGATATCTGCCATAAACAAATATCTAGTTGGGATAATCAGAAACATATAATATTAAATATCTTCAAACTTTCTACATGTTGTGAATTGAGAAACATAAATTGTCTGATAATGTATGATATATTTGAGTGATCTTTTAAGCAACACCGCCTTTGATATTTGAATAAGTATGCACATCATTTAAAAAAGTGAACTACTTTTTTTTAAAAATATGTAAAGCTCAATCGTATCAATTTACTCTCTTCAAATAATGATATTTGTATAATATTGAATGGCCTTGAGTGGGATATAAGAGTTGATCCATCGAGCTGATAAGCATATTTCACGAGTCTGCATGACAAGTGATTAAAAGAAAAATTCAATAAAGGAAATTATAAAATAGGTTAAAGAATGTACTCAATGAGTTGGAATGGATCACGTGTGCGTGCATTAATTTTAATACCATATACACGTGGAGTGCATTGTATTTTGGTAATAACAACCATCAATTCCTCGACTTCATACTTGTATTGTAGACCCATGTTATAAACAAATAATATATGTTTTTAGCTCGTGCATTAGTGATAGGCACTGCACTTGGTTAAGTCACAATGAGACGGACAATTATGAACTCGACAAGTCTCGTTCATGTTAATTAACATGCGTGCATTCACTAATGCACTCGCAGACATGTGTTATTTGTATACTAAACAACAAAAAATGAAATTCTGCTGATTATTTGGGCTGCTCCAAGCTTTAGTAGGGATATAAACTTAACGAATGTCGGAATGGAACGGATGGAATTTTGGGGTCTACTAATATTTACGATGATGGTGACATATTGGAAAAGTTATCTCGACTTGCCTTTATAATCAGTGTTACATGATAAACAAATTATTGGTTCCTGATCAGCGAGGTTGTACTAGATTTGATGGTATGATATGAAAGGAATGGGTACTACAGTATGCATTATAGTACTGCGTCTGAATCAAAGAGAGTCATCTCATGAAGTATACAGAGTGTATTTATTAATCATTTTATCATCATATCTCGAAATGTAAATTGGTTTGATCATTAAAAAAAAAAATTAAGACGTTGATATTATAAGCATAGGTAAGGTATAGGGCTGGGGTTAATAGAATGTGGTTTACACTTTGTCAACAAATTCAGTAAAAATTATATGACTGCTCCAATATTATTTGGATTTATGTACTCTTTTCTTTTGCTTGTCAGTAACAATTCTGAAGGTTTGTAAGATAAAAATTTTGCAAAAGTTGAAAACTGGATTTCAGAATGAGCATAGGTTTGTTTGAAGGCTCCTTATACTGTTAAATTAAAAATTGTATGAAATCAACTCGAAAAGAAAAAGAATTATATTGTGTACAGAAAAAAACATTTATACAGGTACTTTATGATTATTATCTTCTTTTTTTGCATTTTTCTCTTTTTTTGATTTTTAGGGATTGATTAATTGGAAATAAGCATGGGTTTTCTTTGCATTGAATAAATTAATTTTCTGTATATTTCCCCTTTATTTCACATTGTTCATTGCGTGCTTCCATGTGTCTGGAATACAAGTATAGACTGTAATCATGCTGTTGTACTTGTGTATTTATTTGTACATTCTTTGCATTGAAAGTATATCATTTTAACCCATTAGATTCTGGAAGCGTGTGGATCCTGTATTAAAGTGACTTGGTAACATTGTTGAAGGTTGATGAAAAAAATTGCTTAATTTTTGTATAAAATGTTACTTACTATATTCCTTCTGCTGTACTAACCCTTTGACATGCAAAAAATCCTGTAAAAATTCTCAAACCACGAAGATATCTATGTTTTTTTTTTAAAGCGTCGATGTACGACACCCTCTAACAGTGATTAACAGTAAATTCTCCCAACCAGTTTTGAATTTTCCCAACCGTTTTTCCGTGAAAAAAAAGACATAAAACAGGCTATACAAAATCTGTCTACACTTAAATGTCTGGAATGGAATGTAGAGCCATTTTATTGCTTTGTTAGATTTCCATTCACTTAAAATGTAATTAAATTGTAATAATATAGTTTTTGGAGAATTAAGGAATCGATCAGATCAGGGACGTGGTAGAGAAGGACTGGAATCAAGCCGCTCTCCTTTGACCCCATGCTCCAAGCCACCGAAAAGTTATGCGCTAATCTGCAACTGTTGACCAGGTGGTGAGATAAAAGAGCGCATGAAATTCCAGGATTTAGAATTCCTACATCAGAAAATGGTATCACAGCAACTGTTCGCTGTCCCTTCCAATGATTTCTCATCCATTGTTGAATGTGTAAAGAGTAGAACAAGCGAACACAAACTTGTGTAATTTCATCCTTTTTTAAACTTGAAAAATACAACAAAAAAAGCGAAAACACGCATTAGCAAACTTAAAGGTATTACAAAGTTTTGGGAAATTTTGAAAAATGGGTGGATAGTGATTCTTTACAATTTATATATATTTGGATGCCCCTGTGAATGTATTAAAAGTACTAGAAATTTTAGGCCCTAAAACACGTCTGCTTTCGAGAAAAATTGAATATAAAGATTTACCGGTGCTCCCGGTAAATTTTGATAAATTTCAAAAAGCTCCTACGGCCGTACAATGGTAGCTGCGACCATGAAAATCTCTGAATACGTAGTTGTGGTATATAATTTTCGAACGGGAATAGCTAATCGGCCGATTTTAGTTAATAAACATTGTTTTATAGCTTAATTAATATCTTGACCTTGAGAGGGAGCTATTCAACATAAAGTGTTTATTATTTACAATATCATAACTTTAGAGTCGATTTTGACCGAGACAACGATCACTGAATATTGTAGGATCGCATATGCTTCCAATTTGTTCATTTAAACCAAATTCATGACCCCATACCAAAACTTTGTATTACCTTTAATGTTATTGAAGATTGTAAATCATGGATCAAATAACGGGACTTTAAAGCATGCACAAATTAGCGCATCATCCTAAAATATTGAGTTTTTGACAGGATGTAATTTTTCTTTTACCAACTCTGGCACACAAATTAAAGGAAGGACGGAGTTCTAAATTTGAAAAATTGTTTGATGCACTATTCCCAATAAAATCCCCATATAAAGTTTTTGATTTACTCTGTAATTTTTCCGGTAATTTAATATTTTGTAATAAATGTAAAACTGGTGCCTGGCTTCCGAAAGTCTCTGCTGTGGAAGCGCGGTTCGGAGCATGGAACTTCAAAGCCAAGTGGAATGTTACACATCCCATTGTTACGCTTTAGAACTCAAGAATGCGTTTGAATAAATTACAAGAGTTTCGCCTCCTTTTCTTTCACCTCCCTGATCAGATCAGTTTTTCCCAGTTTGTACCATGAATAATGGACCGTTTTCACTCAAATTTTCAGATTATCTTTAATTGTACATCTAGCATTGAAGTCACTACCTTAGCACCACTATCTCTCATCTGAACAATGTTACCAAGTCCCTTTAAGCCTTCAAAATGAGAAATATATTACCAGTAAATATTATGATGACAAGATAAGCAGTGTAGAGGAAGAAACTGGCCCCAGTTCAGAACTGTCATTATTTACAAGTCATGAATTTAATATTAAAACAATTTTATTTAAATTATAATCAGCTTTTCAGTGGGAGAGATAACCTGGATTATTATGTCATACCGGGAACATAGTACACGTATAAGGATATACTAATAGCTTGACTTTGTAAACATATATCAATTTTTTAACACATTTTGCCATATTGGACTTGGAGCATTATTGCCTCTTAATGTACTCACTAATATGATTAACAATTATTTCTTTAAAAAATCATTACACTTCATTTACACTGGCAGTGCGATGTATCTTTCATTTATATTTTCTTAAATATGTGTTTGACTTTTCTCAAATATGTTACCTGTTGTATTATTTTGTAGGTATTTCTATTTTTAAGATCCCTTTAAAATTGTTCATTTATAAATATATAGTATAGCCTGTGATATGTTAACACAGATAGAGCAATTGAGCAATACATGCATCTTGCTACTTTCAAAACGTAAATGAATTGAGAATCGCCCATCGTATTATAGAGAAATGTCTTGTTACTCTCAAAACTTGTAGAAAATGTATGAGATTTGCTCATCCTTTTACCAGTACCAAGCAACGAGAACAAAAATAATTAGCTTACTGACACATGAAATACATGTATGTAGAATCGTTCTTATGCCTGCAGAAATCATCATGCTTTATATCACATGTAATACAAGACAGCGATACAAATACAAACATGTCGATCAGTTATTAGTTTTAAGTTCTGTTTGATGTACATGTATTTATCAACAATATTGGAAAATGCATTTCATTCTAAAGTAGTGTTTTATGAGAAAATAACCATACCTTAGAGTATACATGTTAAGTGAAAATTGTATAGATATTTACTATTTCATTTCTTTTTCATTTCTTGTTGTCCCTATATTTGTTCAATTCACGTTTCAAAATTTCAGTGGCTAAAAAACAAATTGCTCAACTTGCATCGCTTTTTGTTTATGCGTGGATGTATCTCACTTAAAAGATGATTTTATATTTAAGATATTGCTTTGTCATTAAAAGCATTTTTCAATTAGTTTTTGTATCTGCCTTGTCTGATTTGTGGAGTAAATTATGTGTTACATACTTAGCAGTGTATTAATTTCTCGTTTAATCATGAATCCACCTTAAACAGGTGAAGCACTGCACCAACAACATTTTATTTGTCATTCAGTAACATTTTGAACTTGTCAGTTTAATTTACACAGGATGTGAGCATATTATTTCCATTAGACAAAAGGCATCAGTTATATGCTTCACTAATTATATAACTTGGATTTGATAGAGAGATAGAGAGAGTGTGAGAGAGAGAGAGAGGGTGAGAGATAAGTGTAAGACGGTGCCGCTGAAGTTCTTTTTGATTCGCTAGCGACCACGCGATCATATGGTTCCTATATAAACAGTGGCGGGTCTACGAGGGGGGAGGGGGGGGGGGGGGGTTAACCCCCCCCTTTTGGCTGCCAAGTGAAAATGTGATGTGCATAGAAAAAACGCCAGCATGTATCCAGACCCACACAGTTTCTGCATTGTCATTGGGTCAAACTGTTGCTTGATTTAAAAAGACCTTATCATGTACTGCTTTTTATGGTCTCCAATGCAGGCGCGGATCCAGGATTTCTTAGTAGACGGGGGGGGGGGGCAATTATACGTTACATAACACAATTCTATACACCCTTGAATTGCTATTGTCTATTAATATATAACGTCCACCATCGTCTTGCTCTATGTTTATGAGTTTATACAAAAAAAAGTCTTGATTAGAATGAGTACCCCACTGATGTAAGTAGCTATTTATGGTTTTCTGTGAAGGCGTCACTGTGCAACACCCTCTAACAGTAAATTCTCCCAACCAATTTTTGTCTCGCCTGCGTAGCAAAAAGCGAGACATAGGCGCCGCTTTTCCGGTGACGGCGGCGGCGACGGCGACGGCGTCAACATCAAAAACTTAACCTAAGGTTAAGTTTTTGAATTTTTGGTATAATTTTTAAAGTATAAATTCTTAGTCAATGAAACTTTGACTATAGGGTAATCAAGTATCCCCAATCATGTGAGTAGAATTTCAGATCACAAAGTCAAGGTCAAAGGTCATTTCAGGTCAACAGACTTGGACTATGTTGTAGCATCATCATCGAAAACTTAACCTAAGGTTAAGTTTTTGAATTTTTGATATAATTTTAAAAGTATAAGTTCTTAGTCAATGAAACTTGGACTATAGGGTTATCAAGTCTCCCCAATCATGTGAGTAGAATTTCAGGTCACTAAGTTAAGGTTAAAGGCCATTTAAGGTAAACAAACTTAGACTTTGTTGTGGCATCAACATTAAGATTTTCAAAATGCTTCTTCTTCGTTATTTTTCAACCGATTTTGATTCTGATTGTTTCATATGATAGGGCTAGGAGGGGATTTAAAATTTCTACACAGAATCGTGAAATTCATCGTCTATGCTAATTTATGCAAATTTATTCGAAATCACAAAAAAGGCTTCTTCTCCTTCATTTCTCGACCGATTTTGATTTGGTTTGCTTTATATCGTAGAGCTAACTTTGGTACACTAAACTTCTACACAGAATTTTGAAATTGTTCTCCATTAATTAATTATGGTAATTTATGCAAATTTATTCCAAAAATAACAAAAATTGCTTCTTTTCCCTCATTTCTTGACCGATTTTGCCTTATCTGGTAGAGCTAAATTTGGAACAATAAACTTCTACACAGAATTGTGAGATTTTGCTCCATTGATTATTTATGGTACTTTATGCAAATGAAATGAAATTATGTCCCTTCCAGCTAGGGCATCAAATTTCTATTTTTTGACCAGTTCAAAAGTGTACCACATAAAATTTACGATATTTGTTGTTGTGAGATGCGGATGAGCGCTACGTCATTGACGTTCTGGTTTATCATATTGAATTGCGTTATGCAGGCGAGACCGCCGAGAGCGTTTCCCTTGTTTAATTTCCCAACCGTTTTTCCATGAAAATAAGACATAAAACGGGCTATTAAAAATATTTCAA